ATTCGTACCTTTTTGGAATTAATTAATTATGATCTAGCGAACTCCGCATGTCCTATTTGAAATCTGAGGGCCTCTTTACTAACAGAGATATTTTCCAGTTTTCCAGAAAACTGGAAAACTGGAAAACAGAAAACAGGAAACGTGTTTACCAAAGAAATTCCTGGAAAACTGGAGAAAGGAAAAAAGAAAAATGCGTTTACCAAATCGTTTTCCAAAACGGAAAAAATGAGACATGTCTCTCTTTTCCTTAATGATTTGGAGAAGTGACTTTTACTAGTTTTCCAAATTTGGAAAACGCAGATGCTACAGTGCCGTTGCAATGAATTTGCATACGTACACCTAGTGGTGGGTCCAGTCCCGCTCCGATGTCGATTCCATTCCGGTACCTTACCCCTTACCCCTACCCTACCCTACCTTACCCACCCAATCCCACCCCGCATACCCATTTTTCCCTATAATGACCCTACCCCACCCCCTACCACATGCCCCTACCTCGGCCCCACCCCGATCCACCCTACCGCCACCCCCTACCACCTCAACCCCACCCCGACCCACCCTACCCTACCCCCACCCGTATATTACCCCTTACCACATGCGCCTACCTCGGCCCCACCCCACCCCACCGCCATCCTACCCCCACCCTCGTACCGCCATCCTACCAGCACCCTTCCGCCTAGAGGTGGACTCGGGCCGGGTGGCCCGACCCGGAACCGGCCCGGCCCGGCACTGTTCCGGGCCCCCCATTCCTGAACCGGAGGCCCGACCCGGGCCCGAACCGGCTCGAGTCCACCCATACTTCCGCCATCCTACCACCATCCTACCCCCACCCTACCCTTCCCCTACCTCGGCCCCACCCAGATCCCGGGCCCACCCTACCGCCATCCTATCCCACTACCCCTACCTTACCCCAACCCTACCCACTACCCCCACCCTTACCGCCATCCTACCCCCACCCCTTCCCTACCTCGGCCCCACCCCGGTCCCGGCCCCACCCTACCGTCATCCTATCCCAACTCCATACCCTACCTCTACCTTACCCCAAACCCTACCCACTACCCCACCCTTACCCCTAACCACGACCCTAACCCACCCACTACCCCCCACCCACCCCCCTACCCCTAGACCTTACCACCCCACCCCCCACCCATAACTTCCCTACCCCGACCGCTACGAGTAGGTATGGAGGGGTATGAAGGGTTGTGGGGGAGTATGGGTAGAGTGCAAGATCGTGGTAAGGGTAGGGGTCAAGGGTGTGGAATTGGAGATCTGGGTAAAAAATTGATGAACATGTTTTTAGATTTGAAAATGGAAAACTAAAAAATAGAAACAGAAAATTGTAAATGTGAAATTAAAGTGACTACGTTATTTCCTAAAATGGAATGAGAACTTTTAAATGGGACGCCTAAATAAGAAAAATGTAAATCTTTCAATTTGTTGAAAATACATCCAAATATTGAATAATATCCCGTGCATCGCACGTGTACTATACTAGTGTTCATCTAATAGAATATTCAACATGTTTATTAATGTGTTTCATTATGCATTTACTTAAACATGCAATAATGCTTACTAATGTTCACTAATCTTTTCATTTGAGCAAATAAACACTTTCTAAAAAAATCAATTATTTTAATTTGATTTTATTTATCATTGAGGTATTTCATTTTTTCAATAATAATATAAATTACTTCGAATGTAGGTTGTAATAAATTTATTGTGTTATAAGAGAAAATATTTGAAGGATACTGAAGTAATTCATCAAGTCTGTAATATAAGATAACATTCAACCAAACAACTTAATGTCACATTCTCTTAATCTTAACCAAACACAAATGAGATAAAGATTGAACAATCCCCATGAATCTAATATACCCAGTAATCTGACATCTCTTGAACCAAACTGACGAGTGCCTATATTGTACACCCGGGTGTACGTACATCCGGTTTTTTAAAATGGCTAAACTTGTTTTTAGGACCAAATCCGGACTTGGGAACTGGATTCCTTCAGGAAAAAAGAATAAACGCCAATGGGATTCGATCCCTGGACTTCAAATATAGCCTGCAGCACTCCATCCATCTCGGCTGCTTGTCTCTCTGAAAATATCCGTCCTTTTTTTTTTACTTAGCCTACATGTTTTCATACTCCCTACTACAATTGTTTATTAATAGTAATTACAATATTAACTATTCTTTGTTTTTGCTCATTATTACTATATTAAAACTAATTCAAACGAAGTATTTATTTAATCTATGAATCGTACTATTAATTAATTTATATAAATGTATTTATAATTTTATTATATATTGTTAAGTTTCTAATAAACCCGATGCTCATCAAATGTGTTTTAATCCTCATAATAGGTCTAATGCACATTATGCTCATTAATGCTCATTATATATTGTTAGGTTTCTAATAAGCCCGTTCTTCGTTTTTGTTATTTTGTACGAAGTACATAGCTCTCATATTTTGAGAAGTGGTGAGACACTAAATAGCTATCATTATCTCTAGCTATAGTTAGTTTTTCATGTGCTCTTTGCACAACTCCAACCCCCATTGTACATTTTATTGAAAACAACAAAAGACTCAGAATTAAAGAAAAGTACTAGTATAAAACAATTGAAAGATGGTTCAGAAGAATGAGCACTACTGAACTTTTAGTGAGCAACAGACCTATTATGTTGAGTATTAGGAGTCTAATATTTAGAATTGTGATCTCTGCTTCATATTTTCTAATTCACTTTCTTTGTTGTTATTAAATCGTAAGTTGTTAGTTGAACATCATCACATTTTCATTGAACATCAAACCTCCACTATCGAGATAAAATCACCGTTTCTGGTAAATGAGCACTAATGAACCTTTAATGAGCAGCAGACCTATTATATTGAGTATTAGGAGTCCAATATTTAGAATCGTGATCTCTGCTTCATAATTTCTAATTCACTTTCTTTGTTGTTATTTTGTCTTTTATAAAAACTTACTACATTATATTTATGACATTGATATGACATTTACAAAATGAGCATAAGATCAGTACCAGATGAGCATACATAACTTACAAAATGAGTATTAGTGAATTTGTTAGTTGCTTTGTTAGTTGAACACCATGACATTTTAATTGAGCATCAAACCTTAGTTATTGAGATGAAAGTCACCGTTTCTTCTGAATGAGCAATAATGAACGTTTAATGAGCATCCGACCTATTATGTTGAGTATTAGAAGTCTCATATTCAGTATCGTGATCTCTGCCGCATACCTTCTAAGTCACTTTCTTTTTATTACTTTTTCTTTTTATAAGAAAATTAATAAATTATATTTATAATCAAATCTTATGAAATTCAATATGTAATTCAATATGTGAATCTAATGTAAAATAGTACTTTAAAAAATGCATTGATATGATAATTAAAACACTTTTAATGAGCATCGAACTTATTCATTTGAGTATTAAGATCTTAACAATGTGAATCCAATGTCATATGCAACTTTTAAAATTTGCATTAAAATTTGCATGAATATGACATTTTAAAAATGAGCATAATATGAGTACAAATTGAACAAACGTAACTTACAAAATGAGTATAATCCGTAAATTTTTTAGTTGAACTTCAATACATTTTTATTGAGCATTAAAACTCCTCTATTGAGTATTGAACAAATGCAATTGAGTCTCATGGTCAGTGCTCATATATACACTTTTAATGAGCATTAGAAGTATTCTACTGAGCATTAAGCGTCGAATAATGAGTATTGTGATGTCAACTTTATATACTGTGATTCACTTTCTTTTTTTATTTTTTCTTTTATAAAAACTCATTAAATTATGTTCATAATCAACTCATGAACTTCAATATATGAATCTAATGTAATATGATACTTTTGAAATATGCATCGATATGACATTATAAAATGAGCATAACATCAATACCCAATGAGCATATGTAACTTATAAAATGAGCATTGATATGTCATTTTAAAATGAGCATAATATTACCACATATGAGCATACATAATAAACAAAATGAGCATCAAAATTTTTAAAAACTCATTTGAAATCTCTAATGTGCGCAAATATTCATTGTGTGTGCTCATTTTTTTATTCATTATACTCATTCGAATATAACATAAATGTGTCTCTATAATATGTATATCTAGTAGATTCGTTATTAAAAATTCAATAAATGAACTATCAATATATATAATAATGAGAAATATAATAATTTTATACTCCCTCCGTTCTCCATTAGTTGTCCACTTGTCCCTATAGGGTTTGACACAAGTTTTAAGAGAAAAGTAATAGGGGTAGTGTAAAAGGTGTAGTGAGTTGTGTTTAAATGAAAAGATAGGAAAGAGAATGAAAAGGTAGAAAAGAGAATGAGGGTAAATGAGTATATTTATAGAAAAAACTTTCCAAAAATGGAAAGAGAGACAAATATTAGAAAACAACCCAAAATGGAAAGAGAGACAAGTATTACTTCACTGTATTAGAGAACGGAGGGAGTATTAAAAAAAATATAACCTTTTGTTCTTGAAATACAAATATAATCGTTTTCTATTTATAATATTTTCTCATGCATATTTATTTGACACTATGCTCATTTTAGTATAACACAAAACTCATGTTAGTCATTAACACACAATATAAAATAAATTAATAAATATTCATCTTATTAAAATAAAAAATAGAAAAACAAAACATTAATACTTTTTAAAATATTTATAATACACAAATTACAAAAAACTAACATTAGAGGGTTGACTGAATAAAAGAAAAAAAATTGAACATTTGCTAATATTTTATATTATACATTTTTATCATAATTAAATAATAATCAAAAATAAAGTAAAAAGTTTTCAAAAGAAAAGAATAAAGAAAACGAAAGAAAGAGAACACGAACTAAAAGCTACGTACGAAAAAAGAATAACAGAAGTGCAGCAGAAAGTAATCGAACAATCAGCAAAGACACGGTCACCGTCAACCTGCTATCAACAAATGAAATTAACGGGAAGTGCAGCGGAAAGAAAGAATAACAGATAGCAGTAATTTAATTATTAGCCTATGAAATGCAATTAATTACAAAAATGCCGACTGTACCATGCTCCAGATACAACCGACTGTACCATATAATTTGCCCGACAAAGTCAAGTGTTCTAAAGCGAGCTAATCCTCGTTAATCTGCAAAAGACCTCTGTGATTTGAAAGCAGTCCCCTTAACCCCAAGCTCTTCGATTTCTGGCCAGAGTTCACAAGGTACCCTTGTCTTCCTTTTCTAATTGTAGGGATGCCCATTAGGAACATTCCACCTCGGATGCGCTTTTTTTCTGAAATCAAATCGAACTAAACTAAATTTCTATTGATGCGATCTGGAGTTCTCGTTCAACAGATCATTTATCCGCAGAAAAGGGGTCAAATTCAATAGCTCCACTACAATTTTTTTCAAAAGATTATTTAAATAAATAAATAATACTACGTATAAAGTAATTTTCTTTCCTAATTTAGATTGTCAGAACTGTACTCGGGGAAGACATGTATTGCGTTTGGTTTTAAATTTTCGTGCAGAAACTAAGGATGTTTGTTTTGCCAAAAAGAACTAAATATGTTTTTAAATTTGCCGGTCTGGTTTGATCTGAATTGGTTGATCTGGTCTAGTAATATTTGGTCTCTATGTATTTTATAATTATGGAAGTTTGATCTGTTTAAGTCTGGTCTGGGTATAGTAACAAGTAGACCTGTCCCCGGTTCGGAACTGGAACCGAACGGGCGGTTCACGGTTCACCAAATGCTCAAACCTGAATCGGAACTTTGAACCGCCGGTTCCTGTTCCGGTCCGGTTCAGCGATTTATTTTAATAATTTTTATTTATTTATTTATTTAGGATATTTTTATATATTTAATTAAAACATTAGGATATAAGAACAACACTTTGTGAATCAAAGACAAACATTGTGATATAAAAAACATTAAAGATGTCATACAAATCTTTGTAACTTATTTATTTTTAAAATAAATTTGAGCTTTGTGAATCAAATTAAAACAATATATTTATTTAGGATATTTATATCATTATATGTACTAGTATTTAATTAAAAGATTAAGATTTAAGAACAATACTTTGTGAATCAAAGACATACATTGTGATATAAAAACATTAAAGATGTCATACAAATCTTTGTAACTTATTTTTAATAACTTATAGAAATCAACTTTAAAAAAAATCCGGTTCTCAAAAATCCCAAAAACCGAACCGTCTCCCTTAACCACAGGTTTAGAACCTTGACCGCAGACCGGTTGCGGTTCTGTTTCCGGTTAAACCGGAAACCTGGGACAGGTCTAGTAACAAGTAACTATACCCGTTTACCAGAATATTTGAATAGTGCGTCTTAATTTGATATTTGAGTTTTTTTGCTTCTGCCAAATGTCATGGCGTTATGGACTTGACTACACTAGGATCTGCACTGATGTAGTCTAATTTATTTCAGTTTTTGTGTTTGAATGCAAATGCCTAATCTAATGAGTTAGAATTTGTTTATCACAGCTGAGCTGAAATCAATGGCAGGGTCTGGTAGTTCTATGTTATATTCATTTCTTCTTTTTGTGATCACCATCTCACTGCAAGAACTGTTTAGAGCACAGTTGGCCTCTTCTGAGTTGTATACTATCCTTGGAGGTCTCGTCAGTTCTTTCATATTCCTTACTTTGCTAACGGTAAAACTCACATTCTTTATCTTGTGTGTTTGCATAAAGGTGCATTATACTTGCAACAACAACACAACACAAAGATAAATAGATAATCCTTGATGATGTCATCTGCAATTGTATTCACTCAAGACTAAAGTGACATTTCTCCTGTTTTAAGAAATGTTATCAAGTAATGACATTTAGAGGCTTGTTTCTCAGTTGTGCTTTTTAGGATGGAGTAAACTGGTCATATGTTTACATCGAACATGGACAGTGGCGGATCCAGGGAAAAATGTCATTGGCAGCATTAACTAAACACAATTTTCTAAAAGTGGCTAAGTGCTAGTTGGGCGATGACTGGCCGCCTAGCGCTTAGCTCGCCTATGCTGGCACCTAGGTATTTTTTTCATTTATTTTTTTAATTTTTTCATTTTCTTTGAATTTTAACAATCTTTCCTAATAATTTTTTCATTTATAGCATTTTGACAATAGAAAGAACTAATATAATCATTAAATGTTATGCTTTTTGGAGTAAAATTATCGATAATAAAATAATTAATCGATAACTGAAGAGATTTGGGCATTTTAATCTCTAAAAATGCTCATACTTCATATACATTCATAAAACTTTATATACATGTAAAAATGATTTTTGTTGTAGGAATATGATAGTGAGTTTTATAGGAATATAATACTTATTTATCAAACGGTGTTTCAAGACAAAACGAGAAAAATTAGTTGGGTCGCGAACAAATTTACTCCCGGTCGCCAAATCACCATCTAGCCTGCCTAGCTGCCGCCTAGACACCTAGGCGGCCGCATAGTCGGCCAACTTATTTTTATAACCATGGCTAAACATAATATTACAACATGTGGACCATGTGGTAATTTGTTTTCAATCACATAAATCTCCCTTTATCCCAAATTAAATTAATTGTCTTGTTTCAGTTTGTACAGTTATGAATAAAGTTGTTGAAAAGTAAACTAAACAATGCGGTTGAGTTTTGAATATAAAAAAGTGAAATGTTACGAAAAACATAGTTTCTGCAAATAAAAGGAGCAAGACAATTACTTTAAAACAACACAAACAAAAATAGCTATTAGGGCAGGGGATTACAAATTAAATGCAGATATTATAGTCAACCATTACCGTTTTTTTTTAATAGAGCATAAAAATATGTGAAAGCAAAATACTTAGAAAGAGTAGTTAAGAGAAGCCTAGCAAAAAAATAGATAAATTTAATTTAGTTCTGAAGTAGCTCTGAATTTTAAAACCAGGTTCTTTGTGAAAGTGTTTTTTCGTCTCCGTATAGAGGTAATAATTAATGGGTCCATGGGATGATGGGGGTATTTTTTTTCCATTGGGGCACTATAATTTTCTTTTATTAAAAGACCACTTTTTATAATTTAAAACTCAGATTTTATTGGGGGCTTGTCACGTGTGCCTCCATTAAGTATAAGGTACGTCCGCCCCTGAACAAGGATGGCACGTGCTTCTTTACTAATTTGTTTGCATCCAATGATTTTAGTGTTTATGGCCTGTTGTCCTGTTTTTGCTATTCTCAGACTGTTCTTGTTCTACGGGTGGGGTTTAGGTTACATATTTGACATTCGGGTGTAATTTCCCGTTATTCAGTGCCCATGTATGAGTGTGTATATCCTTCTGTATGTGTTATTCACACCCTTTGACAATTGTGTGTACATGTGCCTAATTGTGAGGTCCAAAGATACATGCAATGTTATGCTCATTAATTAGTATGAAATGCATAACTTTTAGGTTTATTGTAAATGATAATAGCGTGTAATAATAACAAATATTCTGTTTGTCTTTGAATGTTTTCATCAACATTGTACTATGTAGAGTCACTTTTGTTTCTTCTTTCTAAGAACTAGGGGTTACACTTAGTCTATCTTTTTCACCATAGGTGTCATATATTACAACAACAACATTCAAGCTTTAATCCCAAAAGATTTTGGGGTCGGCTAACATGAATCGGTCCATGATATCGATTCCAAAAAGAGAAGACAAAAAAGAAAAAGAAGGAAAAAAAGTAAGATAAAACGGATACGATAAAAATAAATAAGTACTACCTCCGTCCCGAAATGAAGTTCATGTTCACTATGTATTGGTCAACTTAAATCACTCGTAATCTTTTACTTTATATATCAATTTTTTATCAAATTTAAATTTTCTTGATCAAGCTTTGTAGCGATTTTAATGTGGTTTCTGAATATGTAAATTTTATTTACTAATAATAATCCAAGTGTGAACAGGGATCGAGTTGCTTTATTGTCAGTCAAGCATCGTAAAGCAAATGGGAACTTTTTTACGGGACGGAGGGAGTATAAGATAACAATAATATAAGAATATTAGAACGATAAAAGATAAAAAGATAAAAGGGCATAAAAAGCTTGAAGATAAAATAACATAAGAACATAAAAAGATAAAGAAGATAAACGATCAAAGAAACAGAGAGAAGAAAGAAAGAAAAGAGATCAATCGTTCACACGAATGTGCGCCCTCCATTTTGCTTTTTCCAAAGTCATACTCTCATCCAACCCAAGAAAACGCATATCAGTTCTGGTCTTCTAATCCAAGTCTGTTTGGTTCTTCCCCTCTCCTCTTTGTCTCTTCTCTCCACCCCTCAAGTCGTCCAACAGGTGCATCACTTGGTTTTCTACGCACATGCCCAAACCATCGCAAATGAGACTCCTGCATCTTATCTTCTATAGGTGCTACTCCCACCTTTTGTCTGATTATCTCATTTCTCAAGCAGTCATTTCTGGTATGTCCTCACATCCAACGCAACATACACATCTCTACCACACTCATCTTTTGAATGTGACATTGTTTCACCGCCCAACACTCTACGCCATACATTAATGCAGACCTAATTGTTGTCCTATAAAATTTACCCTTCAGTCTAGTTGGCATACCTCGATCGCATAGAAATCCTGACGCACTCTTCCACTTCATCCGTCCAGCTCTGATTCTATTCGATACATCTCCATCTAATTCACCACCCTTCTGAATTATGGAGTAACGAAACATATTACACACGGGTATCTCCTTATCATCAACAGTAAAGTAATCCCACTGGTGCTACTACTTCTACCTCCACCAAACTTGCACTCCATATATTCAGTCTTGCTTCGGCTTAGTCTGAACCCTTGGTCTCCAATATTTGTCGCCACACTTCCAACTTTGCTTTAACATCCGATTGCGTCTCATCAATCAATCAAGATCGTCGACAAACATCATGCACCAAGGTATATCATCTTGTATTGACTTCGTAAGTTCATCCATGATTATAGCAAATAAGAAAGGGCTCAAAGCCGATCCTTGGTGCACTCCGATAGTAATAGGGAACTCTGTGGTCCTCCTTACACTAGTACGGACATTTGTAGTACAATCCTCATACATATCCATGATGATATTGATATACTTACGTAATATGCCTTTTCTAGTTAAGACTCACCAAAAGACTTCTCGAGATACCCTATCATATGCCTTTTCTAAATCAATGAACACCAAATGCAGATCCTTTTTAGTGTCTCTATACTTCTCCACAACTCGTCTAAGAAGGTGAATGACCTCAATTGTTGAGCGTACAGGCATAAAACCAAATTGATTCTCCGAAATTTTCACACTTTTCCGAAGTCTTTGCTTAACCACTCGCTCCCAACATTTCATGGTGTGACTCATAAACTTAATCTCTCGATAGTTAGCACATTCTTGTACATCACTCTTATTTTTAAATAGGGGAATGAGAGTACTCTTCCGCCAACTCACTGACATTTTGTTGTTTCTCCAAATCATGCTGAAGAAACCTGTTAGCCATCAATGCCTTTCTCTTCCAAACTTCTCCAAGCCTCGATCGGTATGCCATCTGAGTCCACTGTTTTCTTTTGTCCCATCCTTCTCATAGCCTCTTTAACTTCTGTTGTTTGGATCCTTCTCACGAAGTCCCAACTTACCGATTTACCATACACTCTGGTATAATATGATCATCAATACTTTGCACTCTATTCCCGTTGAGCAAGGTATCAAAGTATGACCTCCACCTCTCTTTTATTTCCTCGTCCTCCATTAGTACCGTTTGATCGACATCATTCACACACTTAACTTTTCAGATATCTCGAGTCCTACGGTCACGAAGGCGAGCAAGTCTGTAAATATCTTTTTCTCCTTCCTTAGAGTCCAATTTTACATGCAATTCCTTGTTCACTTTTCCTTTTGCTTCCTTTACAGCTTTCTTTGCTTTTCTTCTAGCCTCCTTGTACTTCTCTATGTTCTCGTTGCTCCAACTTTTGCCCAATTTCTTATAGCATTCCCTTTTGGTCCTTATTGCTTGTTTCACATCATCATTCCACCAAGATGTGTCCTTTTTTGTGGTAGTGATAGGAATACTACAGATAGGTATTGACTAAACAGAAAAGAATCTAGCTCAAGAATCAATCAAACTTCATTAATGGAGGAGAAACGAGTACAAAAGAGTCCCAAAAAGAAGAGAACAGATTCTCCAATCTTCCCAGTCCTAGCCAAAGAGTCTAACACCTGTCTGACCTCTCCCAAACTTATTCTATTTATAGTCTCCTAGTTCAACCGAAAATAGTTAATAGTTACTAACAGAAAACAACTATTGTTAGGGAGTGGGAGGCAGATGGGCCGAGGCTCTAGGAGGCAAACGGGCCAATGCTTCAGGAGGACGGGCCTCGCCCATTATTAGTTTATGGGTTGCTGTCAGTGGACCTAATTGGGCTGGGTTGACTGTTGGGTTTCATTACTTTATTTCAGTCTATTGTTATGTCTAATAAACTGTTGGGCCTATATGGTCATATTTTATTATTAGGTTAATGGGCCTAGATGGCCATATTTTATTATTAGGTTAAGGAGTATTTAAGGAGGTCTTGTGAACTATTATTCATTATCGAGAATAAAGATTTGGTTTGAGCTTAAGGCTGGGCAGTCGTTAACACCGTCTGCTAGGGTTTCTTTTTCTGCTTCTATCAATTTGGTCCGACCT